GCTTGGGGAGCGTGGGGGGGGGGGGGGGGGGGGATCGGTGAACCGACAACCGGGATCATATATGATATGTATATATATATATATAGACATATACATATATATATATATATATGTGTGTGTGTGTGTGTGCATGTGTGCGTGTATGTATATGTATATGCATATGTACGCGTACGTATGTGTATGTATGTGTACCTATATGTATGTGTACACACATTTATATATACATAAGTGCATATGTATGTATACTTTTTGTCACTCGCGCTCGATATGCTCAGACGAAGTTTCGGGGAATTTACAGTATATATATATATATATATATATATATATATGCTCTCGGGTCCCGGGCCGCCACCCACCCCCCAATGGTATCCCCCCCCACCCCCCATGCTGCTGTGCTGCCCTGCCCGCCCCCGGCCCGCACCTGCCGGCCCTTCACCTGGTGCGCGGATCGGGGGTGACGCACTATGCCCTGCCGTGTGCGGAAAGCGGTAATCGGCGCAGTAGTCTCCAGCATCTGACATGAACTGCACTGCTGAATTGTGAGGGTTGTATGGCGATGGTGATGGTGGCAGATATTCTCTTGATGGTTTTAATGATGATGGCGACGACAAGGATGATGTTGAGCGTGGTCTGATCGTCGACTCATGTCCCGGTCTAGAGCAGCACAACATCATGAGCAGTAAGACAAGCGCGATAGGAGTAACACATAAGAACGGCGCGGCAAAAAGAGTACCACCACAGGCCCCACACCACAGGGGGGGCCGGGGGGCAGGGGAGAGGATACCATGGGGTGGGGGGGGGGAGGGGGTGTTGCAGCCCTGCATCATATATATATATATATATATATATATATATAGTTATATGTGTGTGTATATATATATGTATATATATATATATATATGCGTGTGGGTGTGTGTGTGTGTGTGTGTGCTTGTATGTGTATATGCGTATGGAGATGTTTATGTCTACATTTTTGGCACCCGCGTGGCTGATCCGAAGACCGCATTACATTGCAGGTCACATGTGGGACTCGAGGTGGAATGCACACATATATATATATATATACATACATACATACATACATATGTAATATTATTAAAATATGAACAGCTAGCAGAAACAATTACAATAGTAAACAAATGTAAACAATATTCAATATTGTTTATGGAACAAGATTTAACTAGACTATCTCGTGCAGCTGAGACAGGTCTTCACAAGAGGTGTGAGCACCACGTCCGTGTGTGTGTGTGTAGGTGCGTGCGTGCGTGCGTGCGTGCGTGCGTGCGTGCTTGCGTGCGTCTGTGCGTGCGTGCGTGCGTGCACGTGGCTCCCGCAGCGGGAACTGATGCACCGTTCATAGCCTGGCACAGCAGAGCAGCATACACAGCTTTGCTCCAGCAAATCTGCACTATAACAGCTGGGTGAACCACCGATGCAGGCGGACGAGCCGGGACCGTGGATGGCAAGCTTTGGGGCACAAACGCGGGTGCTACAGCACCTCGCCGAGTCAGCTATCATTGCCGCAACCTCTGAGAAACTATCCGGCACATGGCAACCTTCTGTTATAAGACTCCCAGCATCACCAAATCACTGACGATTTCGACGCAGCCAAGATGCCCATACTAGGCGCTGCTGCTCTTGGTGGAGGCACGGTTACGCCGCATGGAGCTGCAAAGGACGGGCCTTAAGAGAAAACATATCAGTAGAAACCCTTCATCCAGCATTAGCAAACCTCGGAAAGGTAAGCCACGAACCTCCTCCTTGGCTGGGCGTCTGCCATGACGCATCCCAAACCCCCGCCCCGCCACCGCCCCACCCCCACGAGGGGTTTGGAGCATTAGCATTCCAAGCTCCTCCCTGGTTCCAGCTCCAAGCATCACCACAGCCTGGCACATGAAAACTATGTCACGCAGTCGAAGATCGTATGTCAGGAAAACTGCACGCAATTTCTGGCCTTTGCCCTGCCACATGAAAGCACATGTGTATTTACCAGCCGAACAAAGTCAGAAGACTCTTGAGACTGCTGATTGCCCAAACTGCGTAGACGGTAGTACAGTAATTATGCGGATGTTGCCAGGGACATATATATATATATATGTAAATACATATATATATATATATATATATATATATATATATACAGACATACATATGCAATATTATTATGCACATGCCGCAGCATGTGAAATGGATGCTTCCATGCTCTGCTCAACATACAGCCAACATCTGACAAAATTCTACGATTAAATGTGTCTCGGCAGAATACTCATGGCAGCACTACGGATTTCCAGCCATGAACACGCCAGCATGCTCCATCGCAGTAACAAGCCCTGCGCTTGCCAAGCTCATGAAGGTCTTCGCTGCCAATCAATATCGACCATGCAGCAGAACCCCACAGTAAGATAGACCTATCTTTCTCGGCAAAACCACGAGAGTGCATCGATCTTTCGGGCACTTCATTGGTGCCAGGTGAGACGAGTATTAAAACGGTCTGCAAGGCGAGGTCTTCTCCCCCACCTACTCCTGCAGCAAGTTCTTATGGCCTGGGATCACTCGCAGCACGCTAGCACAGCGCCTGCGAGTGTGTCCAAGTGTATCACCTCGTCCGCGGGCGCTTCACGCCAATGCCAATGGAGGGTCCCGATTTCTTCTTATCATCTGTCGGCATTCGCCGCATCATCGTCAGGAACTCATCGAAGTCGATTTTGCCTCTGCGATTCTATGCCCCGAAAAACCGAAAACCACAATCAAGGCTCCGGCCATCTCCATTCAGGTCAACTTCCTTCATGATGGCATCAACTTCTTGCTTCGTGTACCTGGTCTTCCACCAGATACACTTTTAGTGGGTGAGCACTTGTCAGGGGGAGTGCCCAACACAACACATTAGTCAGTTGACTGCAGCTGGGGCTCTTTACTTGCATCACGTCCGAGACTTGATTGTCGCCTCCCAATAGCTTCATCAGCTCCTGAGCATAGCACATGCTGACCTACAGCAGGGCTGAGCGTGTGATCCCTCACTGTCCTCCTTGTCAATGTGACCACTGCCATCTTGATCGAAGGTTTTGAAGGCCCTCCAACAAGCTTCCTCACCACAGCATGCGTAAGATCGATCCTCTGCCGCCCCGCCCGCACTCCGCTTCGCTCGACTCCTCCGCCACGAACTGGCGCTTGTCCAGCGTGGCTGCCATGAATTCCGAATAGTCGATGACCCCGCTGCCATCCGTGTCAATCCTCGGAGCCGGCTCGGGAGAAATTGGGATCTGGCTGAAAAGCTCTGAAAGCCGGGGCCCCGGACCGATCCATCATGGCATAGAGGTCGGGCGGAACGGCCACCCCAGCCTCTAAAACCACAGACCACAGCTGACAACAGCCGGCAGCCTCTGCGACGCCCCGACCCTGGGGTTCGGCGGGCCTTGACCAGGCCATCTTTCAGCTCGCTGATACTCAGCGTACCGTCGTTGTTGTCGTCCATGGCAATGAAAAGCTCCTGCGAGCAGGGAGCGCCCAGGCACCCAGTCTCTGCAGAAACCCCTGGCCGTGCCGCCTTCAACTCCTTGATTGCATCGTCTGTGAGCTGCGTTGCAATGATATTCAATGCTGCCTGCCGGTCGACAAGTGTCTGCGAATCCGCACTCTCCCTCCAATGACCTTCTTCAACTTGTTCATCACCGCAAAGCTCTTCAGATTCTGCACGACGACCTGCAGGAAATGTCCACAACACCCTAAATGCCGCGCAACCCTTTTCAAAAAAAACCTCGCCTGCGAGGCATGCGTCATATCGGCGGGAGTCCTTGGAGGCGTACAGCTGTAGTTACCAGAATGAGGCAGAAGCCAACGGCTAGACAATTTAGCCGAGGTGCGTGTCGATTTGTTTGGTCATCCACTCCTCTTTCAGAGCAGCTTCGGCACTTACCCGCTGAGAGGGGTCCCTGGTGAGAAGGACCTTACAGCAAGCATGACTGTCGAGAGTTTGAGCTGTGAAGACCCGCCTGCAGCCTGGCCTTCAGCATGTCTTTTGCCTCCTTGGAGATGGGCTTCCACTCCTCCGAAAAGAATCAGGCCCGAATTCCGAATAGCTGTACTATGTGAGTCTATCTTTCCTAATGCTTGCACTCCTTCTTGTCGAACGACAAATCGGATCTCTTAACCGACTCCAGGACGGCCATCGTGTCATTTCCGGAAAATGGCGGAGATCCACTCAGCAAGATGTACCTGGAGGAAACAAGCTTGCTTCTGGGTGGCCCGGGAGGGCATCAGAACTGGTTCCTAGCCATTACCTGTTGCATCGACCCTCGAGATTCCCTGCCAGTTCGCGAAGCAATTACCCTGGTGTCTAACGCAGACAGCACACATGATCACCCCGATGCTCCACACGTCACACAGCTCGTTGTAGTGACCTGCAAGAACCTGACAGTGGTGGGTAATGGAGGCAGACTCGAGTGCACTTGTTGTTTGCATAACCCTGGCGCTCGTGAATCTGAGCTAGCAATCCCTCGCTCAAGTCTTACGGTGTGCCCCTCCCGTCTTTTAGAGCGTCGGAGTAGCCTTCCCTGAAAAGACCACACAGCCTTGTCCGGTGGACATGCCCCACAACCCTCCAGCTTGCCTCAGTATGCCACGGCCCATGTTACGGGTGCTATGCATCTGAGTGCGCCCTCCTCGGGCGTGATCACCCGCCACCCAAGTCAACCAGTTTCCGTGACGTTCCTGGCCAGTTGCTTTGCGTTCGTCACCTGCCTCGCGCGCAAACGCGTGAACTGAATCCACAGATATCCTCTTCTCGTCGCGTTCCATTCCACTCAAAGACTCCTGGAATTGCAGCTCGGAACTACAGCCCTTAGGTCTGTAGCCTCCGGCGCCACGTAGTAAGGAGCTCCAGCCTGAAACGAGGATCAACCAAAGCAATATCTCACACAGGTCATATGCCGGGCACCTTCGTGGTGGCAAACTCACCCGGGGTGAAGCGCTTGGATAAACCAAAGTCCACCATCTGCCATCGAGCTCATCGCGACTCCGTACTCAAACTGTGACGATTGGACTCCAGGGAGAGATGTCCGTAGAAGTACTAAATTTTCGGTGTGATCACAATCGAAGTGACAGTGGGAGGAGCAAGAAGCATCAGAAGAAGAACGCGAATGAATGACAGGAAACACATGATTGGAACAGCGATGGAGTGCAGACATTGCCTGCGATCAGAATATTAGCAGAAGAGCCTGCGAGGAAAGGGTGAGCCCTGTTGGACCGTCAAGCAGCATGCCCAAGACGATCATGAGAAGAAACTCTGGAAAACGGACCCGCTAGATCATGCAATGTACAGGAGGACAGAGCAGTTCCAGACTGAAGCCTGGGCACAGTTCAGCAACTCCTCACACAATCCCGCCCACCTACATGGAGACTTTTGTCCACGAAGCGTGTCTGCCCCGACAACCAAGTTACCGGTATACAGTATAAGCTTTACCCTGCGTATCACCAACGTGCCTCCTGGTTACTCTGCGTGCTCTCATTTCCTCTACGAGGGCGGAATAGGTCTTGACTGGTTTTCGCAGCAATCGGAGGCTGCCTAGCAGTTGGTTACTGCAGATCTCACCCAGCGAGGAAAGTCTCAGCAGCCGCGTGGGGTTATTAAATAGTTGAGCTCAAACGATCGAAACAAAGTGCCCACCGACTTGAAACATCGAAGCACGTTTGCTTGCCTTCAGGTGCGTGTTCTGGATGTCTTCCTTTGCCACTTCAACGTCTCAAGCTCAAAGCGGTCTGATCCCAAAGCCCAAAAAGATGACGACGCGTACGCGTCGCCGTACGCGTCGCTCGAGCCAAAGGATCGGTTTCTGCCAGCAGCCAGTTCTCCGGCTTCAGGTCGCCTTACGACGGCTTGGGGCGATGCGGGGGCGCCCAGGCACTGGGAGTGCTGCGAACACGAAGGAAGAGCAGGAAGTGGCAAAGGGCTAAGGGCACTGCAATGCATGATGCAATTGCTGTGCAAGTAGTTCACCGCTCGCAGCATTTGCTGCACGCAATATGCCGCAACCTGGAATCCATGGACAGCATTGAAAGAGTTTTCCCGCTGCGCTGTTGTTCAAGAGACGGGGCCTGCTCGGAAAACTTCCCATCTGCAACAATGCGATCAAAGAGTTCTCCTCCAGAACATAGCTCCAACCTGCAGCTTCACCAGACACAACAAATTCAACTGTTCAGCCACGGCTTCGAAGATCACGCATTGACTGAGCCAGAGACACCAAGTACACGTTTCTTTCGTCGTCGAATGTCTCGCGAAGTCATGTCATCCACGAGTACAGCTTAGCGTTCCGTTGTGAAGATAGGGGCGCCAACAAGCCTCGTGCAAGCGGACAATGTTAGGATGATCTAGAAGCTTCATAATCGCCATCTCCTCCGTGAACCTCGGCACAAACTTGGTCGGACACAGAAACCGTGAAATGTATGCTCGAAACCCCCCCCCCCCCGGCGCCAGTCCGACAACACCCCACCTTTCGACGTTCTTGACTCTTTTCTTGTTGATCGTCTTGACAGCTCTCCATTGCCCGGTGTCCTTGCAGCTGTGTCGGATGCAGAGGCAGAAGTGGTGAGGACTGGCAATGGCCTTGTATCGACACTTCTGCACAGATCCAAAGGAGCCCTCACCCAAGACCTTGGCACGACCACTTTCGAAAAAAGCAGGGAAGTACTTCGTCCCAGTGCGCGATAGTACGCGCTGTTCACGGGGGCGAAGTGCCTTCTCCCATCTGTCAAACACAGCCGCAAGCCAAGGATCTGCGTGCGGCTTTGCTGGCTCAGCTTTCGGCACGTAAGATTTGAACATTAAGTAACAGGCCGGCTGTTTGCCCTGCTGGCAAACTGCAAACTGGTACGCTTGCATGTTACACGGATCGCATCTTTGCACGTTACAACCACCAGTCACCATGTTGCAAGCTCGTGGAGTTTCTAAATGTTTCGTCTGAAGATGTGGACCGGTGCCTTTACATACCTATCTTTGGGAGAGGATCTGTCGCGAAGCTGGACATTTCTTTCGTCATACGAGTAACCCTTTCACCAAGTTTCGCCGCTTCTTGGGATTCGCATGCTGTCCCGAGTCTTCCAGGAAGTCTCTCCAAGGCTGCAGTTGAGCCCTTTTCGATTAGCGCGCCGGCACTAGAGTATAGAGCCAAACCGCCAACCGCTGTGTTAAGCAAATTGCAACACGTACTGTGAACACGTCAGGTGTCGTAGCAAATCTCCATTGATGGCCGGCCACCTCCTTCTCAACTTCGTAGAACTCCTCCAGCTTTCCTCTGTTCGAGGCCGCAAAGGCTCCGATGGAGAAACCTCCGGCTTTGACGGACAGCTTGGCACGTGCCTGTCCAAGACGCGTGCAGGAGTCGCTGATGACCAGCACATAAGATTGGCAAAGGTAAACGTGCAAGGGGCTTCAGCATCACCAAAGCTTTCTGCCCTTTACAGCAAGCACTGACGCGAGACCACCCTGGACTTGGGGCCACCACGCAAACGCACCCCATGATTGTGAAAGACTGTCTTCAATGAGTGTAACTTAGCGTAAGCCACTTTGCCGACAAAACCTTGTCCTGCCTGAGGAGCGTCGGCTTTACGGATCTCCATCTTCTCCTCCTTTCCAGAAATCGATTTGCATACAAAGCTCGAACTGCTTGGCACATGTGGAGGGAGGAAGGGCGCAGCACCTTGCAGCATGCAAGCATGCTTCCCATAGCACCTGCCACAAGGGTTGGTCATTTCGTTGTTTTGAGGACACTGACTCAGCGATCTTTGCCCAGAACAGCGCACCGGCCACATGTGCGGGGCGGGATCTCCGCAAGGCATCCACACCCACATGCCATGCAGTCGTATTAACAGGCGTAGCCGTGGCCGTGAGAAGCTTGCATGGTTTGCTGCTGTCGCTCTGTACCAATCTGTCCCGTCGCAGCTAAGAATTGACGTTCATGAAGGTGATGTTCATTGCGAGTGACGACTCTTTGGTTGCGGAGTACTGGTTTCAAGCATGCGGTTTTTGAATCTACATGGCAACGGCATTGCAGCTTCAACACCGTGGAAGAGCGAGAAAATCCAACATAGGCCAACCGCTTCTGGCCAGATGCCCGGGTGTACATGGTGTGTCAACAGCTCATGGCTCGGCTAACCAGAAGCATCTGTACCCACCAAATAGCATCTAAGCCACGAGACAGTCGGCCTTGTATCAGAACTCCGAAACTCAAACCTTGGACTAGCTGCGGAGATTTGTCGGAACACCTCCCGTTTTTCGTGCTGCGCTGCGCACGCGAGGCATATTGCCTCCGTGCGTTGACGTCTAGCTTGAAGCTACTTGATGTACTGCTTCAAATCCTTGCGTAAGAAATCGAACAGCTCACACTTGCCTTTAGCATCTGGTGCTATGCAGTCCATGTGACCGGCATTCAGGCTGACATTCTGAAACTTGCCCAAAGTCAGCGCACTCCAATCCTGCATGTGCTCTGGCTGGCTGCCCTCATCCAAGAGCGGGGCAAATGCTGTGATGTTTGCAGGAAATGCTTTGAAATCCTTTTCTGGATCTGGGTACATGGCGTCACGGTACTGGTGCCGCATCAGAGAGAGCATCTGAGACAAGAACTTGCTGCCCTTCACCTGCTCGACAAACTCCTCGTCTGTGGTTTCTATTGCTACTCTCCTGAGCACAACATTCTCCGGCTGAAGGCTGCTGAACCAAGTCAAGAGCTCCCGATCTCCCGCACCTTTGAAGGAGAGGCTGAGATTCTCCCAGGCGGTGGGCTGCCCCTCCCGCATAGCACCACATGCTGCGATGTAGACGTGCTTGACTCTCGAGCCCAGGCGGGTTGCGACACATGCAGCTGGAGAAGCCCCCCTGCTATGCCCGAACAGTATGAGAGGCTGCTCCTCATCTTGCGCAATTTCATTGATCTCGTCAATCACACGGTCAATGTACTTCGCCCAAGGCTTTCGTCCTTCACCTTCCAAGCCATATCCATCTGGAAAGTGGAAAACGGCGGCGTCTGCCACTCCAGAGGCACGCACTGCCTCCATTAGCTTTTCCAACTGCTTCTCTCCGTCCTTGACGGAAAAGCCTCCCGAATACCACGCACAAAATAGCGGAGGCCGAGGAGGTGGTTTGAGGATGCAGCTCAGCAAGTCCTTGTCCGCAAGATTGATGCTAACCCAGCCGGTGTCCGGGCCTGATCCTGTCAAGAGCTTGTAGTGTAGGCGCTTTCCCACCAGCTCAACCTGTTCCACCAGAGATGCAAAAGACAACCGCTCTGGTAACTCTTTGCTCTTCAGGCTCTGTTCCTCACGTACCACAAGGCCGCCCTTGTCTTTACCACCGATAACTTCCCAAACTGCTTTTTCTGCCATGGCATCCTTCTGCGATTCTTGGCGTTCTACAGGTGCCCTTCGATGACTCAAGCCGAAGCTCCGCAAAGCAGTCAATCGAGACGGCACTTTCGCTAGACCTCGCGAAGTCTGTCGTGGGTTGGACCTATCTATCTATCTATCTTTGTCTACCTATCTATCTATCTGTCTATCTAACATGTATATGCACATGTACAAACCTCTGTATATGCATATGTCCATGTTCTGTATATGTATCTGCATAGCTGCATGTATGCGCTATGTATATATGCGTACACATCGTACACGAATGTGTGCATGTGTGTATGTATGAGCATGTATGAATATGTGTGCATATACATATATATATATATATACATGTATACATCTATACAGCTACACATCTATACATATAAACAAATATACATATACACATATATATATATATACATGCATATATATATATATATAATAACGCGCTCCGCGGCCCCCCCCCTCCCCCACCAAGGTCAATGTCCATGGTCCGGGTATAGGGTGGGCCACCCCGTCCCCTGTGGTGTGGGGTGTGGGGTCCCTCCTCTCCCTGTGTGGTGGTTGTGGGGTTTTGGGGTTTACGGTTACAAGGTATAAGGGTTCGACTCGAGAAGAGCTTAGGGAGGATTTGCGGTGTATGCTCTGCTTTAGGCTTATTGAATTGCCTGCAGTTAGGTGGGGTTTAGGGTTGGGTGTAGGGTTTTAAGTACAAGTTAAGGTTGCTCAAAACAAGGGCACGCGCTGCATTATAAGGTTTACGGCCTGCTTGCGAAGGGCGTGCGTGCGTGCGTGTGAGCCCTGGCCGCCAGCACCACCCCACCATCCAGTGGCAGCTCCAACGGCCCCGACCCCTTTCCACACACGCCCCCCCCACCCAATCAGACCATACCATTGGGGGGGGTGGGAGGCGGGAATGCCAGACGCCTGATTATATACATATGTACAGATGTACATATATATATATATATACATATATACATATATACATATGTACATATTCACATATATACATATATACATATGCACATATATACATATATACATATATACATATATACATATATACATATTATATACATATATACATATATACATATATACATATATACATATATACATATATACATATATACATATATACATATATACATCTCTTTCTCTTCCGTGGCGATGAGTAAAGATACATATATTCATAGAGAGCAGGTTGCTGTGGGGCCTGGGTTTTTGCAGACCACTTTTTGTATCATATCTACATTCAAACAACTTCAAGCACTTGAAAGGTACACGCAGCATTACACCACAAAGTCCCGTACACTTCTTTTCCTGAGTAATGTATTCAGGGTCAGGCTTAGCCTGTGTATAATCAGACGTCAACGGGTACGACATGTAGGCATTCAGTGGCTACATATTCAAAGTTCTTCCCACAACAACTATCACAGGCAGGAAACACCGTAAATACCGTGTATTCTGCACTTTATCAAACCAAGTCTTGGGGAAGGCCACATAGACTCGACACGTGCGACACGGAGCCTTTATCTCATCCCTGCAAGACTCTTCATTCTATCAAGCCAATCCACCCAACCCCAGAACCATTGCATCATCTGCTTTGGCATGCAGTGTTCGGTTGTTGGAGAACCTGTAGGTATTGAATTAGCGTACTTATTTGGAAAAGTGCACAGGATTCGAAATAAGTGTTTAGGTCAGTGCTTTGAATATGTTATGGCATGTCAACAAGTATGAGTGAGTTCAACTTATGTATTAGCTTGTGTGACTTTCAAGGAACCAAGGAATAATGAAAAGCTGCCTGTGGCTAACAAGTCAGTCTGCTACTGGTCGAAGATGACTCAAATCCTGTTTGCGCTTGTTCATGTCCTGCTGGCTGCTGTAGGTACTATCGCTTTGGTTACCCACAGTCTACAATCCAAAATAGCGAGCATCTGGATCAATATGAATTCTGAAGCCGGACAGTTGGTTTTATGGGGCCGCTCGCGCTGAAGCCTCGCCTGGGGAATGATAAAGCTGTACGAACCGTCGTGGTCCAGGCCTTTGCATGATCTTGCATGGCCTCCATGTCCACAAATACCTGTATCAGAAATTTTTTTGGTTTGATATACAATCAATCCTTTCATATCCTTCTGGTCCTCTAAGGTTATTCTGAGCTTGTAGCAACAACACTTGTGTTTACACGGGAAGACAGGTATACGCATATGTGTACAATATTTCAAAGAAGTGAACCCTGTGTTTATGGACAGCTCTGTTGTTTATAAACAAGGCCAGGTGTTTATCAACAACCAACCACGTAACATTGTGTTTCCCATACGCAGAAACACCGTAAATACCAGGGGTTTCATAGTTTTCTCAATCAAACAAGGTCTTGGTCTATTCCACAGGAACCGGTACGTGGCAAAAATCCAGTTAACGTATCAGTGTGTCAGTGTGTAAGACTTGCAGTGCGGTGAGGTTTGTGAACTGGTTGGTTGGAGTCGTGGCGCGGTGATGGTGCTGCTAGTGACGGGGGGAGCAGTGTGCAGGGCGGCGTTGGCTTTGCTTTTGGAGGAGAGGGGAGGGGGGGGGAGGGGGGGGGTGGGGGGGGGGTAAGTCTTTGAACATGTACAAAACACTCCCTCCCCCCCCCCCTCCCCCTAGACCGGTGTTTATAAACACATACATATCTACATGTCTGGCAGGCTAGCTGTTTCTAAACATATACAACATCGGTTCTGAAGAGGAGGCACATGATTGTGACGACACGACATGTTTATAAACAAACCCGGTGTTTATAAACAGACCTCGTGTTGCACAACTTGCACAACAACTCCTACTTGATGTTATAAACCATCCAAAGCAACAACATACACGTACACACGCACCAAACTAGTACACAGTTCAGAGAACCTCACGTGCAATCACTCGAAACATACAAAACAACTCGTAACTCGAAAAACTCAAAACCACTGAAAATAGTGGGTTGCCAAAACGCAGGCCCCACAGCCTCCTCTTCTGGAGAGCAGGTTGCTGTGGGGCCTGGGTTTTTGCAGACCACTTTTTGTATCATATCTACATTCAAACAACTTCAAGCACTTGAAAGGTACACGCAGCATTACACCACAAAGTCCCGTACACTTCTTTTCCTGAATAATGTATTCAGGGTCAGGCTTAGCCTGTGTATAATCAGACGTCAACGGGTACGACATGTAGGCATTGAGTGGCTACGTATTCAAAGTTCTTCCCACAACAACTATCACAGGCAGGAAACACCGTAAATGCCGTGTATTCTGCACTTTATCAAACCAAGTCTTGGGGCAGGCCACATAGACTCGACACGTGCGACACGGAGCCTTTATCTCATCCCTGCAAGACTCTTCATTCTATCAAGCCAATCCACCCAACCCCAGAACCATTGCATCATCTGCTTTGGCATGCAGTGTTCGGTTGTTGGAGAACCTGTAGGTATTGAATTAGCGTACTTATTTGGAAAAGTGCACAGGATTCGAAATAAGTGTTTAGGTCAGTGCTTTGAATATGTTATGGCATGTCAACAAGTATGAGTGAGTTCAACTTATGTATTAGCTTGTGTGACTTTCAAGGAACCAAGGAATAATGAAAAGCTGCCTGTGGCTAACAAGTCAGTCTGCTACTGGTCGAAGATGACTCAAATCCTGTTTGCGCTTGTTCATGTCCTGCTGGCTGCTGTAGGTACTATCGCTTTGGTTACCCACAGTCTACAATCCAAAATAGCGAGCATCTGGATCAATATGAATTCTGAAGCCGGACAGTTGGTTTTATGGGGCCGCTCGCGCTGAAGCCTCGCCTGGGGAATGATAAAGCTGTACGAACCGTCGTGGTCCAGGCCTTTGCATGATCTTGCATGGCCTCCATGTCCACAAATACCTGTATCAGAAATTTTTTTGGTTTGATATACAATCAATCCTTTCATATCCTTCTGGTCCTCTAAGGTTATTCTGAGCTTGTAGCAACAACACTTGTGTTTACACGGGAAGACAGGTATACGCATATGTGTACAATATTCCAAAGAAGTGAACCCTGTGTTTATGGACAGCTCTGTTGTTTATAAACAAGGCCAGGTGTTTATCAACAACGAACCACGTAACATTGTGTTTCCCATACGCAGAAACACCGTAAATACCAGGGGTTTCATAGTTTTCTCAATCAAACAAGGTCTTGGTCTATTCCACAGGAACCGGTACGTGGCAAAAATCCAGTTAACGTATCAGTGTGTCAGTGTGTAAGACTTGCAGTACGGTGAGGTTTGTGAACTGGTTGGTTGGAGTCGTGGCGCGGTGATGGTGCTGCTAGTGACGGGGGGAGCAGTGTGCAGGGCGGCGTTGGCTTTGCTTTTGGAGGAGAGGGGAGGGGGGGGGAGGGGGGGGGTGGGGGGGGGGTAAGTCTTTGAACATGTACAAAACACTCCCTCCCCCCCCCCCCCCCCCCCTCCCCCTAGACCGGTGTTTATAAACACATACATATCTACATGTCTGGCAGGCTAGCTGTTTCTAAACATATACAACATCAGTTCTGAAGAGGAGGCACATGATTGTGACGACACATGTTTATAAACAAACCCGGTGTTTATAAACAGACCTCGTGTTGCACAACTTGCACAACAACTCCTACTTGATGTTATAAACCATCCAAAGCAACAACATACACGTACACACGCACCAAACTAGTACACAGTTCAGAGAACCCCACGTGCAATCACTCGAAACATACAAAACAACTCGTAACTCGAAAAACTCAAAACCACTGAAGATAGTGGGTTGCCAAAACGCAGGCCCCACAGCCTCCTCTTCTGTATTCATATATACATATATACATATATACATATATACATATATACATATATACATATATACATATATACATATATACATATATACATATGTACATGTATACACATATGCACATATACATATACACATATATTATGTTATGCATATGTACATGTCTACCTATCTACATATACAGATGTATACATACATCCATATCTACATATATAATACATATGCATATATATATACATACATACATACATACATACTTTTTTGACTTTGAGTGCGCTGCTCGAGTCGTCAAGCCTAGCGAAGTTACCGAGACAGATGAATATTCATCCGGCCATTCTGGATGGCATGCCTTTGGCATTCTCCGCAAACGAGCATTGCCCCGAGCCGAAGCTCCCGAAGGCATGCGAGGGATATAACTGAACCTATGCGACTGTACGATCATCAATGACATAGAAGAGAAGGTAACTGCTACGATGGAATTGTTCAATCTCGGAAACATTCGCAATCATCGATGCGGGTACGTTATCATCCGTGAGAAAGGAGCGGCCACTCAAGTGATCATACAAAATTGCCTGATAATGGCCAGAGGTGACTTGCATTCCCAGGTGAATACAAATGGCTTGCAACTGAAGTAAAGCAGATGCGTGCTAGTCGTATGATCATCGGTAAAGGTCGGGATGGCGAGTCGTGGCTGATGAGCCACGTAGTCATCACGTTTGCTGCAATCATCTCGGTAGCGAGCCAACTGTATCACAACAAGCTCAGCCCGTCCATTAAGAGCTCGAGTCCCAGCCTGCGTGTGCCAGTCATTGACCAGAGATTGGGTGTCATGCAAAGTGGAAGCACTGAGTGGAAGGCTGATCACAGGTGAATTGCCCTCCTCTTCCACACATGTGTGCCTGTCAATCTCAACACGAGTCTGCCAATAGACATCAGGCTGTGGGAACAATGAATGGCAATGTATGTACTGTAAAAACTCGGCAGCATCATGTTGCCTGTGAGGCGACGTCCAGTCCTGTAGCAAGCTGAGCCATGTTGGCTGAGACAGCAGGAGCTGTGATGGCTGGCACTCAAGAATGCTCCTGAATCCTCGCATGAGCCACTCCGGAACCTGAGTGAGGTGAACAGGACAGGAGGATAGGCTCCATAGCCAGGACAGAAGCACTGCATGCATGTAGCACAGATTAGACGGGTTATGGAGCTTCAGCTGGAGGATGCGGAGGCGAGTTGGCTCTGGATGTAGTTGGCCAGAGGAGATCGCTGCAAGCGATCCTGACGAAGGTTCATACCGACCGTCTGTGTAATGGCCGACTGGCTCAGTCGGTGCATTGTGTCGAAGGTCTCGTGAGCCAGCTGAATCCTCAGTCCTATGTCCATCACAAAGACTATAACTGGCGCATCCCCGGTTTCCAGAAGGCTTCTCTTCGCGTGGAAGCGGTGGAGGACGCCCGGTTGGGCAAAGAGAAAGAGGAGTCGGTCCAGGAGTCGAACGGCCTCGGTGTGCAGAATGGGTTCGTTCTCCTTGTTGATGACGTGTTTCTGCTCCTTGTTGTCCCACTGCAAGTAGTTCCATACATACATACATACATATATACGTATATATATACATATATACATATATACATATATACATATATACATATATACATATATACATATATACATATATACATATATACATATATACATATATACATATATACATATATACATATATACGTATGTGTAAGTGTAAGCATGTATGTATGTATGTACGTATGTATGTTTGTTTCAATTTATTGTGTATATATATATACACATACATACATGCGCATATGTATACATTGTAACCCCTGCCTAAATGCAGGCTAAAACCCTAAACCCAAAACTCAAAAGCTTAAGCTAAACCTCTCACAACCACTCCACAGGGGAAGAAGGACCCCACCACCCCACAGTGGGGACGCATCAAACACCATGAAGGGGGGGGGGCGGAGGGGGGGGGGCCAAAGAGCGCGTCACCACACAAACATATATATATATATATATATATATATATATATCATATATATCATAGATGAACAAAGAACATGGTACGTACATTATCTGCCGCATGACCTTCAAGGCAGCGCTACATAGCGCTCACATGCTGCCAGACTGAGCAGCCTTTCTCGAGCGCTGGCCTGAACTGGTGCCTCGAGACTGGAACCTCCAAGATTTCAAGGAGACGTGCAGACTATATACGGACCAATTGCTCAGCGGACCCTGCCGCTGCATAAATGCGCAAGCATACTTGCACAAAGAGAGAGACGACATCCAGGCTTCGCAAGAAGCACTGGCTCGAAAATCTTTCTACCCATCTACTCATCACCAACAATCAAGGTTTTCGGAGGGTTCGTGAGTGACCTCTTGCGGACCAGCGGGTGGTCAAGCCCCTCGACAAGTCCGGGTGCTTTTGGCTCTGTTTCCGTCACGTCTGGTTCATCCTCCGGCATTGGTGATCGAGGCCCGAAACGAAGCATTGCCACAACACCAGCCACACCAAAAAAGGAAACGAAGTACAGCCCACCGCCACAACACATGCCCACAGCACAAGCCAGCCACACACCGCAGGCGGTCGTAAGCCCCTTAATTTGGCCGGAGTCTTTGAAGATCAATGCACCCCCCAAGAACCCCACACCTGAAGGTAGCGCAGCAGCAACTCGAGATGAATCCCATGTTTGCGTTCCTTCTTCGAAGGCATAAAGCGAACCAATGGTGAAGATGCATGCTCCGAGCGAAACTAAGCTCATAGTCCGTACGCCAGCTCCTCTGTTGGATTCTCGTCTTTCAATACCAAGCAGTGCGCCGATTACCAAGGACATCGTCATCCGCCGTGCGAATTCTGTCTCTTGCTGCGTCATAAAAAGAAGCTGCGGCCAGCGATGTGTTCTGTATCTCCAATCTTCCGGGAACAGGACGTTGGGAACTTTGGGAACACTGCTCTCTCCGGCATGCGTGTCTTTCACGAACTGCTCCTGACAGGAAGAGTTTCACCACAAGGCTTTGTTCAAAGCATAAACGGGAAATCGGGTGTTTACCTGCGGTTTTCTTGAGTGCTATGTTCTCCAGTTTCATGAAACAACGAGCGGGGTCACTTTATTTATACTGCAAGCCTCGAGCAGCCAAGAGTCTACCAATTGCTCACCGTAGAGTGGCTCAACAATCAATGACACGACCGAAGCGACTGTAAATGTAGATGTCAACACCACGGCAGATTTAAAGGCCAGAGATTTGCCGCCAGACGCTGATGCTGACGCCGGGTTCCAGAAATGGTGCGTTTCTGCCCCCTGCGCCATCGCAACAGAACTTATCCAAAACTCGCCTAACAAGTCTGCAACCTGTGAGCCACAATGGCCTGTTTCGGTGGGCTTGGTCGACGCACCATGTTGCAACGGGGGGATACCACGGACAACAACGGCGAGCACAACTTGCGCTCATTAATTTTGCTGCTGTCGCATCCGTTCAGGGGTCTCAAGGGTGCTGGAACGAGAGCAAGCTCTGAAATAGCAAAGACCGGTAGTAAATTGTGCCAGAGCTTCTGCAACTGCGCCTGCTGCACCTGCAATCTAAACTTTCAGCTGATCTTCACACCTGCTCACCTGTCTACTGACAGGGCCACGCAACCGCGGTTAAAACCACAAGAACAATGGCGATGGACGAAACATGGCGCCAGCATGCACTGCCTCTGACTGTGCTATCGGGGTTGCTGGAGCGGAATGCTGCGATGGCATGTCATGTGAATCAATCCATGCAAACAACACCATGCACCATGCACGAAGAACACCTCAATGCACACTCAAGCCAAGCGAGGTGGAAAAGCTGCGCTTTTTCGGCCTGCGCCTTTTGACCACAAGGATGCCGTCAGCAAGGTTACGATGCTCAGGCGTTTGCATATAGCATCAATTAGCTAAAGGATGGGAGTCCACATGCCACCAAATGCGGCATTGACTCGGATCGCCACCGGCGACAGTATGGCGGCATCGCCCTAGCCAAGCACAACCTGCGTTCCGGCACGGTCAAGTAAGCTCCATTCAACGGCCCGGGTAGCTTCGCCTTGCTTCGCGTCTACATTATCCGAAATGCCACTGTTTTCGGCCTCTGTCGCGGTCGGACAGCCCAAAGTCCAGGTGTACGTGGTCCCTGCCGGACAGACCTGCAGACCCACCTGCATCAAAGCATGGTTTTGCTCTCATTTGCTTCGTGTTTGCTATGCCTTTGGAACTAGAGAACGGGTGTCCCGAAAGCGCTTGGATCTGCGAGGTAGTCAGCACCCCGACACCTAACATTATCTCATCCTTTCATTCCTCCATCTGCAGATGGGTCCATGATCCATCCACCCAATCCAGCCAACACCTTTGTAAGCCCTTCTTTCAACCCCTTCTGCAAGCCTCCAGAAACACTTAGAGACCTACTAGCACTACGCCAGCACACATCCCCAAACAATGACAGAGCCAGAGCGGCATGACAACCATGACGACCACGAACACCAAGACGACCAAAACGAACAAGACAAGGAAACCAATAGAAGATCCCGCGCCCAAACACACCGGCATCACCGAGCGGAAGTTCTTCCTTTCATTTCAAAACACTCTACGACGTTAGAACTTGCAATGAATCGCGCTTTCCGCATGAGGCAGACACCCTTGTTCACCGAGATGGTTGTCAATTAAAAGCACGAATCGTCGCGGCACATCACACGCCCAGCGCGAGTTGGCGTGCCCAAACACGCCCAGAGAGCGCTGCCAATTCCGAGGGCGAAAGGTACAGTGATTCCCGCTACTGTAGACGTGCCCCGGGCTTTGAAACATGTAAGATGTAGCGATTGCGAAGAGAAATCCTCGCGAAAAACGTTGCAAGTACACTGGTCAACTAAGCATGCTGCGGGCATTGCATTCAGCGGAAGAATTGGTGGCCATCACGTACGTGGACCATCCGCTGACACTGCTTTAGAGAAAAGTCTGTGTTTCTTTCATCCGCTTGCACACAGCACTGCGCAAGACCGTCGCTGGTGCATACGCGAGTGTGCCGCCCGAGTGGACTTCATCTACGTGATTCTGATTCGGACTACCCAGCCATGTCTCAGCTTCCAGCGTTGATGGATAGTGGCACACTGTCTTGCTCATGATGCGACAGTACACCAACATAGCTTCAGCTGATATGTAGATGATGTGCATAGTGCTAATCTCATATATGATGTTTGCAGATCTGCACAGCCCCATTTTGCTACGCCAATTGTGTGTGGTCCGTATGTGGCGGCCGGATCGCACATGAAGAGACAAAGGATCGACTCATGCAGTCATGCGTGAAGAGTGCTTGGCTTGCTTGATCAAAACAGCGCCATTTTGTTACAGCAATCTTGCTGTCTCGACAAGCAGTTTTGGCTGATGTATATAGTCATGCTGCAAAACCCCATGTGATCACAATCTGGCCGAAGCAGTTCCAACCTGTGTTTGGCAACTGTAGATGGTGCCACCATTGCTAAAATCAAAAAGCAGCGCCATTTCGCTACGGTGTTCTTTCGTGGTTGTTTAACTTCAGTTGCGCTGATTGTTATCAGATACTCTTGGATCTAACAGTTCATGAAAATGCATTCATTTTCATGAATTTCAGCCCTGTGGTCGCAAGCTGAGCCGAAGCAGTTCCAACCAAACCGAGCATTTGGCAACTGTTGATAGTGCCACCTTCTCTGAAAACCGCGCCATTTTGTTTCGGTATTCTTTCAGATATCGTGGTCATGTTGTCTTACTGCAGTTGCGCTGTATTGTTATCAGATACTTCCTTGATCTAAACAGCGCCACTTTGTTACAGCAATCTTTCTGGATTGACAGGCACTTTGTGCTGCCTTCCTAACGTTGTAAGTAACTCCGAGCAATCCTCTGCCCAGTCAAAGCATGGCGAGACATGCGATTTTCCGTGAACTGGGTACACTGATTGTCTGGAGCAATCCAGTTTGGTTTCGTTCAAAAGACTCGATGGCCTTCGAGCTCCGTGCATGCGGTAAGTTGCCTAGTTTTGGGCATGCAGACTGTACTTTTTGACAAGTGCCAGTTATCTGCATTACAGTGATGCTGATTTTCCATATCTCATGATTTGTGCATGTCTGTCTCGCAGCCAGTTACGTTCTGGAGTTGCCTCAAACGCATGACTTGTGACTTGAGACAACCTTGGCATGTTTGGTTGAGAACAGACTGCGTTGTGAACCTCGAACTGCATGGTTGCTTGAAAACCGCTTGCTTGGTGAACCTTGCACTGCATGACACGTTGCATGCATGATCAACTTGGTTGTGCCAGGAAGGAACCACTTGGGCGTTTGTGAGTTTGTTTTTACTTGACATACAACAGATTTGCATGATGTCTTGGATTACACCAAAGAAAGCCTGTCGCTGGGCTTTCTCACAATAGTGCAGGTTTTGATGCATGACCAACAGTGCCTGGTTTTCGGCATAACGTGGATTGCCTGTGATCTTGAATTAACCAAACCATAACAGTCTTGCTCCCCACCATTTTATTTCAGAGTTGAAGCACAAGATTATCATGTCAAACTTCGGAGTAAAGCAACACTGATTTGCATGACGACCTTGTGTCTAACCACATGTTTTCAACGACATCGCATGCTGAAGCCGGTCGGTAACATGTTTGGCTCGACGGCAACTTGATTTCACACAGCTGTACCTTTTGACAACAGTTGGTTTGCTTGATTCGAACCAAAATACATGTCAGCTTTGTTGAGTGGCAGCACATTACTCTAATCCGCCGAGGCCACAGGCCCAGGCGTCTTGGGGGTTAGCTCAGGTACCCTCCACCTAATCCTCCTCCCTGCGCTCCAAATGTTTGGGGACACCCGTTTTTTGCGTTCGTTTGCCACCCCCTTGCCCGGCTTCCCCTCATTTTACCTGATTTGTCGCCCTCCCCCCCCTCCGAGGCCTCCCCCCCCCCTTCCTCTCCCCCCTCCCCTCTCCCCCCTCCCCCTGTGCCGATACACCCACAAGGAAATGCTCCTTGTTAGGAGGTGTATGACCAGTTTATTCCCTAAGGATCAAAGGGCAGCGCCCTGCACACGGACAGTAGTTGTTTTGTCTTGCTACGCAAGGAGAGCTTGTCTTGTCTCAATATGGTAAAACCACTGTGAGCCAATGGGCAGCGGAATGTATATGTATGAGCATGCAGCCATTGCTGTAGGTACCTGTTAGAGCTACCCCTTTAGAGGTTTACGGTTTCAAACAGACACTAATTTTCTTTTACCGGAAGCATGGCCGCACATTCACACATATACTATTATGCCCACTGTCACAGTTGCGGAGTTTGGACTCATGATAAAAACAGCATATTGTTTATGCTAGGTATAGCACTGAAGTACACTGTTGAGGTCACTCCTTTTGCACACACTCATGCATGTTGGTCAGAGAGATCATCTGTACAAGATCAGGTCTGGAATGTTCTTCTACCGAATTATGCAGCCCTTCATTGTGCTCTTGTTAGAGCTTTGTGAGTCACTGTTGTGAAACTCTGAGAATTTTCTTATCTCAGATTCGGATCCAGGTTTGGATCATAGGCTCGAGCATAGACGTTCGGATGTGGTTCATCCGGGTCTGAGTGATCTTCTTCGGAACTTGAAAAGATTCCGAGTAATCTGTTCTCAGCCCTGGTGAAGGCGGCGTCTGCAGTTCCATATCCATGGTTGGATGTAGTCGCCTTTGGCTCGGCCTTTGGTGCAGCTTGTGAGCTGATTGGAGTTGCCTCGGCTTTAGCCGGTTGTGGCTGCTTAGCCTTTGCCCGTTCGGCCCTTCTTCTTTCAAGCTGTCCGTCTGAGGACGCCCATGATCTTTCACTTTCATCTCCTGAGGGAGATAAGGCGTGGGCATGAAGGCTGTTCCAGTACTGTGCTGCAGAAGGAGTTAGGACTTCTTCATGGTCAGATTCTGACTGGTCTTCCTCAGAGCTTTGGTCGTCAAAAAGTGTCTCAAGGACATTTTTGAGGTTTTTATGTCTTCGCTCTATCTCTAGTGAGGAATGGACCAATTGATTGAAGACTGTTTTTGAGTCCTTCAGTGCTGTTAGAAGGATTTCCACTCTGGATAGAGTATCTTGGATGGTGTCAAGATGATCCTTTCTTTCCTCCTTGTCTCTCTGGATAGAGTTTCGCAATGATTGTGCGATTCTGAGGAGGTCGAGATATTTCTGAATAGGCATAGTTGCCGTATGATTGTCATGTATGACAGTTGTTTCGTCGCTGCTCAAGTTCCTGAATAGGACTTCCACGACTGGTAGAAACTCCGTGCTCCACGGTTCCTCTTCA